CCTCAGCTCCGTCAGGGTGTTGAGCGCCGCCGCCGGGAAGTCCGTAATGAGGTTGTTGAGGAGCGAGAGGGAGCTCAGGGTGTCGTTCACGCCCAGGAAGTCCTGCGCCTCCAGCTTCTGCAGGAGGTTCCTCTCCAGGTTCAGCGCCGTCAGGGAGTGCAAGTTCCGGAGGGCTCCTGCGAAGAGCACGGGAAAGGATTTTTTATTTTTTATTTTTTTTTTTTTTTTTGATTAATGAGCTCCTGCGAAGAGCACGGGAAAGGATTTTTTTTTAAGATTGATTAAATGATTTTTTTGGGGGGTTATTTTTTTTAATTGATTAATGAAGTGATTGATTAAATTAGGTAATTGGTTGATTGAGGAGTTGATTAAATTGTTTATGTTCTTTGTCGTTATTGTTGTTTTTCGCTCATTATATATATCTTTTCTTTTAATATTTTACTCGGTTATCGTGTATATAGGAATTGTAAAAAATATAATTTTTAAAAGTTATATACATATATGTGTATATGTGTATGTGTGTGTGTTTAACTAATCATTATTTTTCTAGAAAGGTTCGTTCGCATCTACAGAATGTTTAAGAATAACAACAAAAGCAAAAATTCCTAAGCAAAAAGTAAAATCCTCCTCATAATAATAATGATAAATAAAAACATCTACTTGGCATTCAAAAGAAAGAAAAAAATCTAAGAAAAGAAATCTATCACTCAAACAGAAACCCCGACAAGTAAAAACATAAATAAATACATTAATAATAATAACAATAAAAAAATTCATCTGCTTAGCATTAGAAAAAAAATAAAAAAAAGAGAAAAAAAATCCATCACTCAAACAGAAACCCAGCCAAGTAAAAAATAAAATAGAAAATAAAAAAAAAGATAAATAAATAAATAATAATCTCAATAAAAAAACATTATCTATTTAGCATTCAAAACAAGAAGAAAACAAAAACGAAAAGAAAAGAATCTATCCCTCAAAACAGCACACCCCGCCAAGAGCAGACAGAACCGGGATCCTGACCTGGTTCGAGGCCCCGGATCTGGTTCTGGGCGACGTCGAGGAAGGCGAGGACCGGCAGGTTGAGGATGGCTGGCGGGACGATTCGGAGCTTTGTTCCTTTAAGGTTCAGGTTCTTGAGGGTCCGTTCGAGCCCCGCGAAGGACCCGGAGGAGAGGGAGAGTTCGTTGTCCGCCAGCTGCAGGAGGAAGAGCAAGAGGAGAGGGAAGAGGAAGAAGAGGAGGGGGAAGAGGAAGAAGAGGAGGGGGAGGAGGAAGAGAAAGAGGAAGAAGAGGAGGGGGAAGAGGGAGAGAAAGAGGAAGAAGAAGGGGAGGTTAATGGCTGTTTGGATTAGGAGTCACGTGCCTATATGAATATACAAAACATAGCGACACAAGTCAAAAAGCTTGAACAAAGCTTACACTAACATGATCATGAATTGCATTTGTCATAATTGGTAACACAGACATGCGCGTGTACTGAAGAACAACCAAGCTAACTCAACCTCCCTCCCTCTCTCTCTCTCTCTCTCTCTCTCTCTCTCTCTCTCTCTCTCTCTCTCTCTCTCTCTCTCTCTCTCTCTCTCTCTCTCTCTCTCTCTCTCTCTCGCTCTCCCTCTCTCTTCGCGCACACACACACGCCCACACACACACATACACACACATCCACATCTACACACACACACACACACACACACACACACACACACACACACACACACACACACACACACACACACACACACACACACACACACCACGCAGAGCCCCAGCAGTACCTTGAGCGTCGAGAGCGCGGGGCCCCTGAAGGCGTCGTCAGGAACCGTCGTGATCCTGTTGCCCGAGAGGTCGAGGAGCCTCAACTGCCGGAGGTTGGAGATGGCCTCGGTCGGGACGTCGGTGAGGCGGTTGTCCTGGAGGTTGAGGTTCTTGAGCGTGTCCTCCAGGCCCCTGAAGGCGGCGCCGCTGATGTTGTAGATCCCGCAGGACGAGAACTGAAGGGGGTTGGGGGTGGATGGGAAAATGGGGTTAGCGCTGGTGTTGGGAATTGGTTGTCCTTATTGCTATAAATGGGTTGTTCTTATTGTTAGACATGGGTCGTCGTTATCGCTGTAAATGGGTAGTTCTTTTTGTTATTAATTTGTAGTTCTAACAGCTGTAAATGGTGGTCGTTATCGCTATCAATAGGTAGTTCTTATCGCTATAAATGAGTAGTCCTTGTCGTTATTAAAATACTATCCTTGTCGTTATTAAAGAACTATCCTTATCGTTATGTATGCGTTATCCTTATCAGTGTAAATAGATCATCCATATCGTTGTAAATAAATTACTCTTATAAATCTAAATGGAGCGTTACAGATATATACGTAACCTGACCACTCCTTTCGCCCTAAATGCATCACCCATAAGGCTCAAAATGAATCGATTTATAGTTAGAAATAGATCACCCTTATCGTCTTCAATGGATCAACGCTCTCATTATAAACGAGTAACATTTATTTATTATAGATGTACATACCATCATTAACATTTAAACCAACGTTATCATTATAAACTAGTAACATTTATCGTTATAGATGTACGTACCATCATTAACATTTAAACATATAATAGCAACAACCGGAAGATCATAATCGTTATAAACGACACTGTCTTTGTGGGTTTATGAAAGTTGTAGTGATATTATCAGTGCCTTTCGTGTTTTACGTTATTAAAGAGATAATGCCTATCGTTAGAATCAAACGTCGCTTTTTTGTGGGATTATAATTATAGCGATAGTATCAACATGACAATCATTCTGAAGTGAAACGCCCTTAGGAAAACTGTAAGAATTGAAAATACTATTTACGTTCTAACTCGACTTTCTTTATCAACACTATCCCTCTTTATACGAGCACTCGCTTAAAAACTCTCTATATAAAACTACGAATCCCCTTGGGAGAAATTACATACGAGATTTATTTTACTTTCAAGGGGGATATTCTGATCGGGTGGTTTATGTTATGTATTCGTTATTCAATTATTTTTTTCGCATGGTTTTGATAAGGATTGGCAGCTTTTATAATAATAATGGTGATGATGATTATAATAATGATATGAAACAGAAAAACAATGATGGTGATGATGATGATAGTGATGGTGATGATGGTGATGGTGATGATGATGATGATGATGATAATGATAGCGATAATAACAATAATAATATTAACAATAATGATAACAACAACAATAACATTCATAAATGCATTTAAATAGAAATTCCTAAATCTATCTTACGTTAGATTATTAACGAAACAACATCATTTCGCGTCCTATCAATTCTCATGATCATTCAACAGAAAACTGATTCCATGAGTGATATTTCCGCCTCTGATGAAAGTCTTACTATATCAAAGAATGCCATGAAATCTTCTTGCAACTAAGGATCACGACAATTGCAATATTATCCAGATATCTTCTCTGACTGCTTGGCGATGCATGAAAAATCATGATCGAGGGATTTTGGTTATAGAAATATACGTTTCATAATTCATTAGACTGGTAAATATGATTATTTAAAACAGTTGTGATAAGTTTTTTTAATGCACTGATAAGACTCTCATTGCAAGTGCTTTAGCTATTTGTGCAGCTGAAGAACGACGGTTGTTAGTTATGTTAAAATTTACCATTCTCCACAATTTAATAAGGAGAATATAATGCAAAAATTTACAGACAGATGAAAAATAAAATAATAAAGACGAGTCCTGCGCAATCTAACAATAACAATAATATTAATACAATCCCCAAATAAGCCCATAGATGAAAATAAAGCAACAACCACAATAATAATAATTATTATTATTATTATAAAGAATATTAATAATAATAAAGAATATCAATAATAATAACAAAGGATATTAATAATAATAACATTACACCAAATTTCTCCATCCTCCTGTCTCTCCTCCAACCCCGACATCCCGTCCCTCCTCACCTGGATGTTCTCGATACTGAGTCCGTCGAAGGTCCTGTCGTTGAGAACGCTAATCCGCGTGTTATTGACGTACAGGAGGTCGAGGGGCACAGTGCCGGCCCGCTGGTGCAGAACCGTCATCAGGAGCGTGAAGTTCACCGCCGTGCACTGGATGGAAAGTTCATTCTCGACGTTGAAGGCACACAAGCACGACCCGGTTTACGTACGACTTCCCTCCACGTACGACTTCCCTCCACGAACGACTTCCCTCCACGAACGACTTCCCTCCACGTACGACTTCCCTCCACGTACGACTTCCCTCCACGAACGACTTCCCTCCACGTACGACTTCCCTCCACGAACGACTTCCCTCCACGAACGACTTCCCTCCACGTACGACTTCCCTCCACGTCCCGACTTCCCTCCACGAACGACTTCCCTCCACGAACGACTTCCCTCCACGAACGACTTCCCTCCACGTACGACTTCCCTCCACGTACGACTTCCCTCCACGAACGACTTCCCTCCACGAACGACTTCCCTCCACGAACGACTTCCCTCCACGTACGACTTCCCTCCACGTACGACTTCCCTCCACGAACGACTTCCCTCCACGTACGACTTCCCTCCACGTCCCGACTTCCCTCCACGAACGACTTCCCTCCACGTACGACTTCCCTCCACGAACGACTTCCCTCCACGTACGACTTCCCTCCACGTACGACTTCCCTCCACGTACGACTTCCCTCCACGAACGACTTCCCTCCACGTACGACTTCCCTCCACGAACGACTTCCCTCCACGTACGACTTCCCTCCACGTACGACTTCCCTCCACGTACGACTTCCCTCCACGTACGACTTCCCTCCACGTACGACTTCCCTCCACGTACGACTTCCCTCCACGAACGACTTCCCTCCACGTACGACTTCCCTCCACGTACGACTTCCCTCCACGTACGACTTCCCTCCACGAACGACTTCCCTCCACGAACGACTTCCCTCCACGAACGACTTCCCTCCACGTACGACTTCCCTCCACGTACGACTTCCCTCCACGAACGACTTCCCTCCACGTACGACTTCCCTCCACGTCCCGACTTCCCTCCACGTACGACTTCCCTCCACGAACGACTTCCCTCCACGTACGACTTCCCTCCACGAACGACTTCCCTCCACGTCCCGACTTCCCTCCACGTACGACTTCCCTCCACGTACGACTTCCCTCCACGTACGACTTCCCTCCACGTACGACTTCCCTCCACGTACGACTTCCCTCCACGTACGACTTCCCTCCACGAACGACTTCCCTCCACGAACGACTTCCCTCCACGAACGACTTCCCTCCACGAACGACTTCCCTCCACGAACGACTTCCCTCCACGTCCCGACTTCCCTCCACGTCCCGACTTCCCTCCACGTCCCGACTTCCCTCCACGTCCCGACTTCCCTCCACGTACGACTTCCCTCCACGTACGACTTCCCTCCACGAACGACTTCCCTCCACGAACGACTTCCCTCCACGTACGACTTCCCTCCACGAACGACTTCCCTCCACGTACGACTTCCCTCCACGTACGACTTCCCTCCACGTACGACTTCCCTCCACATCCCGACTTCCCTCCACGTCCCGACTTCCCTCCACGAACGACTTCCTTCCTCGTACGACTTCCCTCCACGTACGACTTCCCTCCACGTCCCGACTTCCCTCCACGTACGACTTCCCTCCACGTACGACTTCCCTCCACGAACGACTTCCCTCCACGTACGACTTCCCTCCACGTACGACTTCCCTCCACGTACGACTTCCCTCCACGTACGACTTCCCTCCACGTACGACTTCCCTCCACGTACGACTTCCCTCCACGTCCCGACTTCCCTCCACGTACGACTTCCCTCCACGAACGACTTCCCTCCACGTACGACTTCCCTCCACGTACGACTTCCCTCCACGAACGACTTCCCTCCACGTACGACTTCCCTCCACGTACGACTTCCCTCCACGAACGACTTCCCTCCACGAACGACTTCCCTCCACGAACGACTTCCCTCCACGAACGACTTCCCTCCACGAACGACTTCCCTCCACGTCCCGACTTCCCTCCACGTACGACTTCCCTCCACGAACGACTTCCCTCCACGAACGACTTCCCTCCACGAACGACTTCCCTCCACGAACGACTTCCCTCCACGTACGACTTCCCTCCACGAACGACTTCCCTCCACGAACGACTTCCCTCCACGTACGACTTCCCTCCACGTCCCGACTTCCCTCCACGTACGACTTCCCTCCACGTACGACTTCCCTCCACGAACGACTTCCCTCCACGTACGACTTCCCTCCACGTACGACTTCCCTCCACGAACGACTTCCCTCCACGAACGACTTCCCTCCACGAACGACTTCCCTCCACGTACGACTTCCCTCCACGTACGACTTCCCTCCACGTACGACTTCCCTCCACGAACGACTTCCCTCCACGAACGACTTCCCTCCACGTACGACTTCCCTCCACGAACGACTTCCCTCCACGAACGACTTCCCTCCACGAACGACTTCCCTCCACGTACGACTTCCCTCCACGTACGACTTCCCTCCACGTACGACTTCCCTCCACGTCCCGACTTCCCTCCACGTACGACTTCCCTCCACGTCCCGACTTCCCTCCACGAACGACTTCCCTCCACGTACGACTTCCCTCCACGTCCCGACTTCCCTCCACGTCCCGACTTCCCTCCACGAACGACTTCCCTCCACGTCCCGACTTCCCTCCACGTCCCGACTTCCCTCCACGTCCCGACTTCCCTCCACGTACGACTTCCCTCCACGTACGACTTCCCTCCACGTACGACTTCCCTCCACGTACGACTTCCCTCCACGTCCCGACTTCCCTCCACGTACGACTTCCCTCCACGTCCCGACTTCCCTCCACGAACGACTTCCCTCCACGTACGACTTCCCTCCACGTACGACTTCCCTCCACGTACGACTTCCCTCCACGTACGACTTCCCTCCACGTACGACTTCCCTCCACGTACGACTTCCCTCCACGTCCCGACTTCCCTCCACGTACGACTTCCCTCCACGTCCCGACTTCCCTCCACGTACGACTTCCCTCCACGTCCCGACTTCCCTCCACGTCCCGACTTCCCTCCACGTACGACTTCCCTCCACGTACGACTTCCCTCCACGTCCCGACTTCCCTCCACGTACGACTTCCCTCCACGTACGACTTCCCTCCACGTACGACTTCCCTCCACGTACGACTTCCCTCCACGTCCCGACTTCCCTCCACGTACGACTTCCCTCCACGTCCCGACTTCCCTCCACTCCCCTCCCCCCCCCCCTCTCCGTTTCCCATCACGAGGTCAGGAGGAGGAGCAGAGCGAGTTTCTGGAGGAGGAGGTTCGGGAGGCGGATGAAGGCTCCTCTCTTGCTACTGCTGGAGGTCGGCGTCGAAGGGACAGGCGTCGACGAAGCCATCTTGAGAACTGAAAAGAAAAAAAAAGAAAACATATATTAAAGTTTCGGATATACAGTAAACAAAACAAAAAGATAAGAAATTAAACTTTTGGGTATAACATCTTGAGAACTGAAATGAAATGAAAATAAAACATATATTAAGGTTTCGGATATACAGTAAACAAAACAAAAAGAATAAGAAATTACAACTTTAGGATGTAACATCTTGAGATCTGAAAAGGAAAAAAGAAGGTAAAATTAATTAAGCTTTTGGAATATACAGGAAATTGGAAAGACTCGATAAAACTCAAATTAGGAAGGATATGAATTGGCGGAGGACACATGTTCCCTCCACGTACGACTTCCCTCCACGGACGATTTCCCTCCACGAACGACTTCCCTCCATGTACGAGTTCCCTTCACGTCCCGACTTCCCTCCACGTCCCGACTTCCCTCCACGTGCGACTTCCCTCCACGTACGACTTCCCTCCACGAACGATTTCCCTCCACGTCCCGACTTCCCTCCACGAACAACTTCCCTCCACGTCCCGACTTCCCTCCACGAACGACTTCCCTCCACGTCCCGACTTCCCTCCACGTACGACTTCCCTCCACGAACGACTTCTTTCCTCGTACGACTTCCCTCCGCATGAGTCGGGTGCGGCCAGACAAAGGACCCGAGGAGCGTGGGCGGGCGGGGTCGTGACGCGGGCGGCGGTCACACCTCCTTCGGCCGCCCGTGTGAAGCGCCGGCGAGTCACGCTGCCTCGCTCGCCCTCGGAGGGAAAGTCGCCCTTTGGATAATGACACGTGTGGCTATGTGCGGGTGTTGATATTTATGAGTGCAACAGCGTATATATGGATTTTTGTACTTTCCTCGCTGTTCTTTCTCTCTGTTTCTTTGTCTCTGTTTCTGATTCTTTATTTATCTGTCTATTAGTATGTCTATTTGTCTGTCTGTCCGTCTGTCTGCGTTTGTGTGTGTGTGTGTGTGTGTGTGTGTGTGTGTGTGTGTGTGTGTGTGTGTGTGTGTGTGTGTGTGTGTGTGTGTGTGTGTGTCTGTCTCTCTCACCTGTAACTCCCTCTTCTTCCCTCCACCCCCCTCTCCCCCCCTCTCCGTTTCCCATCACAGAAAGTAGATAGCCGAACGCACCCATGTATCACGTAACACGCTCGCGAACTTCAAGTGATACAAGGCTTATTTGGACCGTCTTGAACCGACCGCTTGAGGAGAGTTCGGTTCACAAGCAATTCTGTTTAAAGATGGTTCAGGTGTGGTCGTTCTTACTGTGCGACTGTGTGTGAATCTTTCTATTTTCTGTGTGTCTTTTTCTCTGATTGTTTGTCTGTATGTGTGTGTGTGTGTGGGAGGGGTGTCTGTCTGTGTGTCTGTGTCTGTCTGTCTGTCTCTGTCTCTCTCTCTCTCTATTTCTCTCTCCCCTTTTTTTCTCTCTCTCCCTCCCCTTTCTCTTTCTCCCTCTCTCCCATTCCCTCTTCTTTACCTCCTTCCCCCTTCCCTCCCTCCCTCTCCCTCTCTCTTACATACTCCAAATCCCAACCCTGACCAAACCGATCATTTTTAAACAGCAACGAAATCGAATGAAAAAAAAAAGAAGTGACCGAAAATACACCACATTTTTGTTGACTCAGAAAAGAAGGTGAAACACAGACACACATTTTATTTATTTTATTTATATTATTTCTTTAAAATATATTTTTTCGTTTATCATGTACCCGATTACAGTTCAACAG